ATAACAATAAGCTATGATAAAGAAGAAAAAATAATTTTATGTTAATTGCACAAAAATTTCTATAAAATGTAGATACAGAGTACAAACATATAGTTTAAAATCAAAGTATTATTGTCAATAATTTAATGTTTCTTTTGTTTGCTAAATAAATTCGCTTATATATCCGCAGTATCTTAATTATGAAGAAGAATATGGAAAAGTATTCCATGTAAAAATAAAAAATAATTTAAGTTTGTCAGGAATTGAAATACATACAATAAAAAGTAAGTAATAAATTTGTATTTCATGTATACACGGACATTTGTTCCTGATGCCGATAGTGCTTACAGGACTAGATCGCGTGCAAGAAGCACGGGCAGTGGCGCAACCGGATCGGTTCCAGTATCGCAGCATATGCCATATAGCTACACAATTGAACGTCATTGTTAATCTACGCTTACTTATTGATTGATTAGCTTAATGAACTAGTTATACACTGATATACCAGCGTCATCGCGGAGACATATTTATCGAGTCATATTTGATACTTTTACTGATGAGAATAAGAAATAAATGTTCTTCTTATCGTCGTCGTTTTGTTACAGTTTTGTTGCAATGCGAACTTATGGTCGTAGCAAAATTTTGTGAAACGTTTGATGTAATGACGCCTAATCAGAGAGAGAGAAAAATCTCATGCTTATAGTACGCAAAAACATATACAGTTACGCCACCATTCAGCACAGATAATGCATTCTATCTGTACACACTACGACATTTTAATATTTAGTCTTTATATATGACCATGGTACTCACCATGTACTTAATCGCTGACTGATTTTATTTAACTATATTTTGTATTATTCTTTATTACAAACTTCACATTTACTCTTCATGATTTCCTTACACGCATTGTAACATGTTTGATGCATTTAATGTGTTATCTACAATGTCGATGATACAAAAGTAGTTGCTCTGAGTATTTTCGATATATAATGTTTAATTGTCGCAATCGCTAAATTGTAAATAATTCATAGTTTTGTGGAATCTCGGCTTTATACGATACATTGTGACTCAAATAAAACGTTGGACATTGTCCTTAATTATGAAACATGCATGATTTGATTAATCTATTAATGATACTTAAATTAATTAGATACATAAAATTATTATATTCTTTTTATCGTAGGATCTGTATCTTTAAATATTTTGAAAATTGGCATACCTTAAAATATATTTATAAATATTGAGAACTTATAAATATTTAGATATGTCTAGACTTATTGAAACTTTTAACATAAATATTTTTTCAAAATCAATGCTTAGTTGATATACTTCCAGAGAATGTATCTTATATTAAAATGTTTAATTTATTTTTTATGCCGAAGGAATAGATACTCTTGTGAAAGAGAGATATGTCTTCTTATATACAATATTTTGCAGTATTATTTTTTCAACCTGCATCATCATGATCATTTGAATATATTTAAGTTAAGCAACATGGGATATTATTGATGTTCTATTCTGAAGTGTTCAACTTGAAATGTTCAAACTTTAAGCTTGTAAAGTTATATACAAAGTTAATTGCAAGAAATTGGGCTTGCAAAAAGATGTTAATTTATTGATACAGAAATTACATTAAGTGGAAGAGTAGCTAAATTTTTATTAAAAGAAAGATAGAATCATCAAATAAAAACTGTTAATTATTTCTATACAAAGAGAAAATTAATCAGACTCATTGTTTTCACGATAAATTCTTGAGATATATTTGCGTAACTATTTCTCAAGATTCATTTCTTTCGGTTTTTCAATGCTGCAACACACACGCACACACACACACACACGCGCGCGCGCGCGCGCGCGCATACGCGCTCTCTCTCTCTCTCTCTCTCTCTCTTCTCTCTCTATCTATCTATCTATCTATCTATCTATCTATCTATCTATCTATCTATCTATCTATCTATCT